CGGCGCGCCTGCCGGCGCGGGGGTGGCCTACGTCAGCGAGGCGGCGGCGCGCGACAGCCTGGTGGCGCTGGTCAGCACCTCGGACAGGGACTCGGGCCCCAACGGGCAGGTGCGCTGCGCCCTCTACGGGCACGAGCACTTCGCGCTGCAGCGCGCCTACGCCGACAGCTACGTGCTCGTCACCGCCGCGCCGCTGGACCGCGAGCGCGTCGCCGAGTACAACCTGACGCTGGTGGCCGAGGACCTGGGCGCGCCGCCCTTCAAGACCGTGCGGCACGTGACGGTGCGCGTGAGCGACGAGAACGACAACGCGCCGCGCTTCGCCAAGCCCGCCTACGAGGTGGCGCTGCTGGAGAACAACCCGCCCGGCGCCTACGTCGCCACCGTGGTGGCCCGCGACCCCGACCTGGGCCGCAACGGGAAGGTCCTGTACCGGCTGCTGGAGAGCCAGGTGCTGGGCGCCCCCGTCTCCACCTACCTCTCCGTGGACCCGGCCACCGGCGCCGTCTACGCCCTCAGGACATTCAACTACGAGATCCTCAAGCAGCTGGACCTGAGGATCCAGGCGAGCGACGGGGGCGCCCCACCGCTGTCCAGCAGCACCCTGGTCAAGGTGAGGGTGGTGGACCAGAATGACAATGCCCCGGTCATCACCCACCCCGTGCTCACCAATGGGTCGGCAGAGATCGAGGTCTCCAGCAAGGCATCCCCCGATTCCCTGGTGGCTCAAATCAAAGCCAGAGACGCGGACGATGGGGTCAATGCCGAGCTCACTTTCTCCTTCGTAGAGGAGCAGCAGCCAGAGCTCTTCGCCATCAACAAGAAGACGGGTGAGATCGTGCTCCGGGGGGACCTGTCTGAAGAACTGGGGCAGGTATTCAAAGTCATCCTCACAATTACCGACAATGGGAGGCCCCCTCTTGCCACCACAGCCACAGTCAATTTCCTGGTGACTGCCACCGCACCCTCCAGCAGCCAGGAGATGGCCAAGCCCAGCTCCTGGGAGGGGAAGGCTGTGGAGTGGGACATTCCCCTTATTGTCATCATCGTCCTAGCCGGGAGCTGCACCTTGCTGCTGGTGGCCATCATCACCATTGCAACCACCTGCAACAAGCGCAAGAAGGAGTCCGAGATCAAGAACAACAGCCCCCTCACAGAGCAGATTGACATCTCCCATCTAGAGAAGGGAAGGCAGGAGGATGGCAGCCCCAGAGGGAATGTGTTTGAAGTGCAGTGCTTTCCCAGCAAAGCTTCTTTCACCAGCCCAACCCCCTCTCCACCTGCAGAAGAGGTCTCCTCTTCTGAGACCAGCACTGTGAATACCTGTCTCTATGAGGGTCAGAAACGACTAAGGGCGACTGAGGTAAGAGCCCATTGTATTTGTTCATGCTCTAGCTTGCGGAACTGGAGGGCGGGATGGGGCAGTTTGGAAGACGGGGTTCTTGATAAGGTTGTGATGTTGACATATGCTTTTATTTCTCCTACATTCCCTTCTTATTTCCTCCAGCCCTATGCTTCTGCTCCAAATTATAGCAAAGAGTCTGCCCCCCCTGTGGCCATCTGGAAGGGTCATTCTTTCAACACCATATCAGCCCGAGAAGCGGAAAAGTTCAGTGGCAAAGACAGTGGGAAAGGCGACAGCGACTTTAACGACAGTGATTCTGACATCAGCGGGGATGCCCTGAAGAAGGACCTCATCACTCACATGCAGAATGGTAAGGGTTCGGTCCTTTTCGCAGCACAGACTGGATGCAGTGAAAATAAAAACTGGCCCAGGAATCAAAGCAGCTAAGGTACATTGAGCTGACTGGACCAGTTTGATAGCAGTCACACCTTTTACATCTTTCCCAGGCAGTGCTCACTGCAGGAGTAGCCCTGCCAGCATTTTCACAGCACGCAGCTTAAGTATCTATGTGCATGTCAAGCACATAGTGCAAATTAGAAGCAGTCATCCTATTATAATGTTCATTTTCAAAAAGCTTTTCCTGCTTAGGCTTGCTAGCTAAATGAAATGATA